TGAGCTTCTGAGTTTTTTCAGACACAACACACACGATAGGCACATGGGCTTCCTTATTCCTTGTCTGATCCTTTGGGCCACCTGGACAGAAAGGAATAATGCGAAGCATAGGGATATTTCTTTTTTGTGTTCTCATATTATTTTGCAGGTTGACCGGCATCTCTCCCCACCGCTTTGAATAGACTCACCGAGAGAGACTGGACAGACTCACCCGAGTCGCCTTGGGTTAAGCTAAACACTGACGGAGTATTTGACCGACTTACTGGAGTCGCAGGAGGTCGAGACTTGATTAGGGATCATAGCGGCGCCCTTATCACTGCTTTCCATGCCCCTCTTTGGGCCTCCTCGAGCTATGACGCAGAAGCTCAGGCGCTTCAGACCGGTCTTCAGATTGCCGCCTCGATCTCCTTACACATTTGGATAGAGTTGGACGTTGACGCTGTCATCACTCTCTTGTCATCTGGCCATCAAAGCACGTGGTAGATTCAACATCCTCTCATGCGTATCAGAGCTACACTTCGGTCTATCCCTTTTCGGATCTCGCCCATCTTCCCCAAGGGGAACCGGCCTGCTAACTTCCTTGCTGGCATCGGGTCCTCCACCCCTAGAGGCGCATTCTTTATCCATACGATATTCCTCTCCGCCTCCACACCCTCATACGGATGGACCAGATGAGATACCCCTCATTCAGATTTGTGTAGCCGGTCTTACCTTTTGGCGCATCTACCCTATTGTGATGCTGACATTTTCGCCAAGTCCCTAGATCAGGATCTACTATGTTTGTGTTTCTTGTTGCTGTTGTCAGCTTTTCCTTGTATTTTTTATGCTTTTGTCTTTTATTTTTTCGTTTGACTTGATTATATCAAACATTGGACTTGTAGCCTTGTGACTTTCCAGCCCATTTATGGTCTTTATATACAGATTGAGAGTTTGTCCTTAACCCCTACCCTTATGGGGTGTTGTTTATGTTTAAAAAAAAAAGTACTAGGAATTGTATTTTACATTAAAATTGTAATTTACTTTTAGTAAACTTGTCTTAGTGAATATCACTTTTAGTTGTATCTATCTAACTTTTAGTTTTATCTATCTAGACACCATATGTACACAAATTATAAACCCTAATGACACTATTCATTCTTCACCTAATGCACCCGTAGTATTTTTCTCTTCTTTTCTCATTTCTCTCTTTTGACTTGTTTTTAAGATGATTATAAATCGTATCACACTACAAAAAAAAATTTTGTATTCCAACGGAAAATTTTATGGCAATATATTTTAATAGAAATTCAAAAGGATATTCTAATGGTATAGCTTCCGTTGGAATGATTCCAACAGAAATTCCAGCGAAATATTATGTGTGAATGTATTTTTCATTGGAATTTTGGATGGAATTTGATGATTCCAACGACTATATTTCTAACAGTTTTTTTTTTTTATTTAGAATGTGCAATTTCTGTTGTAATTTGTATTTCCACCTCCGTTGGAAAATCTACCGTTGGAATCGTCAAAATTCAACAGAAATTCCAATAGAAAACCCATTCCAATAGAATATTTTTGTTGGAATTTTCGTTGGAATCCATTAAAAAATTCCAATGAAAATAATAACATTGAAAAATATTCATTGGAATTGCCATTGGAATTCAATTTTAATATATTTCCGTTGGATTATCTTCATTTTCTTGTAACGTCATGGTATTTGAGTATCTTTTCATCACCTCTTATCCAAGATGAATATCTCAACATAACATGCTCCTCTTGTGGATATATGAAAAAATGTATTTTACATTAAAATTATAATTCACAGTTGTCGTTTTTGAATAGCACTTTTAGTTGTATCTAGGACACTATATGCGCAAATATAGCTACAACCCTTTTCTCTTCTTCTCTTTTTTTCTCTGTTCACATGTTCTTGAGATACTATCACTAAGACGTGATCAAACTATTCTATTGCACAAATTAGAAGGTGTTTTTTTATTTGGGCATAATTTCATTTTTTATCTACTTTATTAGTTATTTTCTAGCAAAGGCCTACCTTTTTGGTAGACATCAAATTCCGTGCATTGATTTGAAAAATGCATCAGAGAAGGTACACTAATTATTAACGGGAAGATAAAAATTGTCGTTTTCTTTCTGGTCTAATTCGAAAGGCGTCTGATATCCGTTGCAAGTGGGTGACATACAGTTGGATTTTTCTCGTCGAGACGGTCGTATCCGTAAAATTTTTGCCCAATATGGTTCGTTTGCCCACTCAATTATCCATCAAAATAACTTGAGTTATTTTATCTTTGGTTTAATTACAACGCCATGTAGCATCCAGTTTAGGTGGGTGACCCACCATCGGATTTTTCTTGTCCAACCAATCATACTCACGAAATTTGATCTCAACTAGAGTTCGTTTGTCTGCTCAATTTGTCATCCAAAATAATTTTAGCTCAAATTCGTTGTAATCAATCATTTTGGTGTCTTATGTGGTACGTTGTAGTCTGGTGACTCACCGATGGATTTGTCTCATCAGTCGTAACCACAATTTTTAGCACAATTAAATTTCATTTGTCCAATCAATTTTCCATCCAAAATAATTTGTGTTGTTCCATTTTTAGCTTAATTATGGTGTCATCTCAGTTTCAAGTACTTGATCCACCGTTGAATTCTTTGTGTCAATAGTGTCATATAGGCAATATTCCAAACAAAATGGAGTTCACTTTCTTAATCAATTGTCCGTATAAAACTATATGCACAAACTAGATTTTGGGCCCATGATTAGCCCGCGTACAGCCCGTGATAATCTGGCATTTATCCTTCTACTAATGATTAATGTACCTTATTTGATGAATTTTTCAAATTAATGTATTGGGTTTGATTTCTACCAAAAAGATGGACCTTTGCTGGAAAATAACCAATATAATGCACTATAAATGAAATTTTTTCATTTTATTTGACTAGTTGAAATGTTTGCAAAATTGAAAGTGAAAAAGGGAAAGTGTAATTTAGCGTGCAATTTTGACTTATATTGAATTACTTACAATCAATAGATATGTTATATCACCCCTTAAATACAAGTAAATATTTATAAAATTATTCCGATTTATTCAAGCAACATACACTTAGCAGGTGTAAAACATAGTTTAAAATTAGATCAAGTACAAATTGCCATATCAAATTTAGAAGATCTGACTCACAACTCACAATCAGATTGATTTTATACAAATAAATTTAATAAGGTATACATTCCCACCACCGAGTCTTGTTCCACATGAGAGTAACCCGGTCATTTCGAGTAGATCAACCGTTTGGCCAGAGGTTGATAAGCACAAAGATTAAGGTCGAGAAAGCATTAGGTCGATTCAGAACTCATAGGTAAATCGAGCTAGGACTCTAGGATAGTCTGATGGAAACTTTGCTTTAAATTGAAGAGGTCAGTGGAAGGCCTGAAAATCAAACATGTTCAATGAATATCGAAAGAGAAAGTCGAGCTAATAGCTCGACGGGCCTGGAATGATTACCTAGTGAAGTAGACTAATGTGAAGATGTCAAATTAATGATAAGTACGAATATAATTAGGATAAGAATGACACAAGGTTAATAGAATTAGGTAGTCCGAGCACCCGAGTAATGATATCAGACAGATCTTGGGCAACACGCATACTTGGGCAACAAGAAAAATGGCTCTATATAAGGGGGTGATGTATGATCATCAATCATCTACACGCTCTGAGTATTCTACACTCATATGTATACAGTTCACCTCCATCCCTGTTTACCGACTTCAGTGTCGGGGTTTCTACACCTCCTTCTCTTTTTATTTCCTCTTCTTATTTTTTCTCCATTTCCAATCGAAGCGAAGGCACTTTTCAACCTGGTTTGGTTGGTATTTGGGGATGGCTCGACAATGGCCTCTTTTTGGCCTACAGGCTCAAATTGCAATACCTTGTCGACGGTAGGCTGCTGGTTGGTGGACTTGAATTCTTTTGATTCCGGGGTTGGGTCGACAACCATCAAGCTGGACAGAGATTCTGCAAGAACAAGAAAAAGAAGTTCATCACATATATAAGGTTGTCAGGTCAATGACAAAGAAAAATAGATAACGTGCCTACCTATGTCGGTTATCGGTTTGGTGGTGCAAGAGGACAGCCTGCAGTGAGAGAGAAGTTCGAGGTTGTCAGTAAGTTTAACGATATGTAAAGGTTGTTTATTCTACTTGTCAATCAATTGGTTGTAAAAAGGAGATGGCTTGGGTTTTTTGACCTAGCCATGGAGCTCATGGAGCCACTCGTGGGAGATCTCAAAATTGCTTGGCGGAGGTGAACAAAGTAGTACTTTGTCTTCCAGACCATATCATTGGAAGGATAGTGCTAGAAAATGTTAGCACCATTCCGACCAGAAAGGTTGTACGAGCCTTTCTGCAGCTTCATCCAGAAATAATAAAAGTCAAAGCTCAACCTACTGTTTCGGCATTGACTGAGAATGGTGAACCTGACCCGGGTACGGATCGAGTTTGGGTGAAACGATTTAAGGGAATACGGTATGGGAGTTAAGCTCTCTCAAGTTGTCTCTAAGAGTAAATTTTAGGCCGCACGAGGCTTGGACAAGAAAGAAAGAGCAGTAGCTTGAAGGGGGTTGGTCAAAAGATTCGCCGAGGGGAGCTCGATTTCGTGAAGCAAGTTAGAAATGTGTTCGTTCTAGTAGGAGGTGATGGGGTTTGGTTTGAACACCTTCACCAAGGGAGATATAGATTCGACCTTTATGCTTTAACCACGGTGACCTAGTCTAGTTGGCGACAAGAAAGAGGAAGAGCTAGAATTAAAGGGAGGCCCCTAGAAGGTTCATCTAGGGGTTGTGAAGAGGAGGTCAAAGATGACGCATTGTCAGAGTTTGACATGGCGGCTGAAGTTGTATGAAGAATAAATTAAATGAGGGTTGGCGATTACTACAAACCTAGGAAAATAATTCAAAAGAGATGAGAAAAAAATAAGGAGAAAATTCATAAAGAGGACGTTCCCATGAAAGCCATGAGGAAGAGATGGAAGTTGAATTGGTCGGAGGTTTGCTGTAATTTCACGAAAAATAGAAAAGTAAGTCAAAAAAGATGAGAAAAAAAAGTAAGGGAAAAATTCAGGAAGAGAACGTACCCATGAAAGCCATAAGGGAGAGATGGAAGTTGAATTGGCTAGAGATTGGTTATAAAGTCACCGAAAAATTTCTAGGATGGTTGGGATATTTTTTGCAAAGGAAGATTAAAAATGCTGAAGAAATTAAATGAATGGGGTGGATTTGCGCAACTTTTATAGCAGAAAGATAAGGTGCAGAACTCGAGGTCATAGACGAGCTATTTGGGTGGTCTGGACTAACCAGGGAAGATGGATTTGTATGCTAAAGGTCGACAGAAGATGTGCATTCATTTTGAAAAAGATCCACGGTGCAAATCGGGATAAGTGTGTTATGGACCTTTTTTTACAAGCGCGGTTAACAAGGGCACACAAGTTACAACATTAAAGCCTTGCACGTCAAATGGGTCTGGATAAAAAATTCTTGTGCAAATCAAGGTAGTTCGTCAAAGAATTGGGGGGATAGACGATACATCACTCAGAATAGCTGGGTGAATCGTCTAGGGTGGTTAGCTAGATTTTGGACGGTTCAAGGGAGCTCAACCGGTTCAATACATAATCTTGTCAAGGAGCCCACTTAGGTGTCTCGGGGTACAGGTTTGCCCGTTCGGATAGATCAGAGGTCGGAGAACCTCAAAAGCTGGGATACTCGAGGGGAACTCAGGACTCGTAGGTCGTGGTTACGACCTAACTATAGCTCACGTCAGGAAGGTAGAGAGTTTGGGGTCACGATCTCAAGACCTAAGAGCCGTATGGTAAGAGGGGACAAATTCCTTCATGTATGGAAAGTGTATCATGCTAAGGAGTCTCAGATCCTAGAGACGTGGTGTGTTATGAAAATAGATACATGAGAATCTCTTTCTTAACAAGGACTATCTTGTGAATCAATGCACCTTAAGCATTTAAGGGTGACCAGGTTCTCTTATTTTACATATCGCCTACACTCATGAAAACTCCTACATACAATCAGTTTTCTCACGAGTAAGACAATGACTTGAGCGTCAGAGGTTTTCTATCGGGACCTATCCCCAGTGTTTTGCAGGTTATCGGAGATTAAAGCCAATGGCCATTCGTGAGATCGCGATTCAATCCGGTTTGAGATAATTTGCACATCATTAACAACCTCCAACGCTATTATGCAGATCACTTCGCCGATTCAAAGACAGATCAAAGGACGTCAAACCTGGCCGAGTTCGTTTTATACTACCAAAATTCAAATTCACTAGGTCTCTCATCACCATTATACCAATCCATGAAATATATAGAAAGTATTTCGAAAACAAAAATATTTCCTAACATCTTAATATAATCAATCAATATGACATTTTAATTATTTTCCACTTGGAAAACAATCAAAATAAATAACCCCACGAGTAGGGGCACTTGTTAGATTTTCGCAATAAAACCAGCTGTAGTTTGCAAAAGC